AGGTCGTCGACGTAGACGATGAGCAGAATGTAATCTCTTCCCTTCTGTAGTCGGTACATGCCTTGGTCATGTGGTAGCTGTAGGAATCCGATTTTTACGAGCCGGCCGTGAAGGTGCTGCTGCCAGAGCCGTGGGGCTTGCTTGATCCCGTAAAGGGATTTTTCCAGCTGGCATACTTTTGAAGGGTCGTCGATGAATCCGTGGGGTTGTTCGACGAAGATTTCGGCGTCCACAGGTGCGTACAAGAAGGCGTTTGCAACGTCGATTTGCCGTAGTGGTAGTTTCTTCGTGGCCGCGATGGCGAGTAGGATGCGCAGAGAGGTGTGACGGGAGACTGGAGCGAAGGTTTCTGTGTAGTCGGTTCCGTATCGTTGATCGAAGCCTCGTACGACCCATCGAGCTTTGAATCGTTCGATGGAGCCGTCTGAGTTGGTCTTGATGCGGTACACCCATTTCCCCGAGAGAATGTTCTTCCCGTTGATGCTCGTTGCAGGTACCAGTTTCCATGTTTCTCGGTCTTGCAGAGCTTTTAACTCTTTTTCCATCGCTTCCTTCCATTGTGCCTTATGTTCCCCCCCAGAGCCTGCGACAGGGTCGACGGCTCGCGCGGAGAAGGCGGCGGCGGGTGCTGGACGGAGACCCATAGTCCTAGGATCTGCAGTCCCGTGGCTGTGTGTCGAGGGGAGTTTTCATTCTCGGGATAAGCTGCTTCATCACCGTCTTCAGGATCGGGTAAGAAGTTTGGCCCGATGCGTTCGGAAATATTCGAGTCGACGGGGTGTGGTGTAGCGTAGCCTTGGTCAGCGAAGTGGTAAAAGGTGTCGAGGTTGTTGCTATCGAGGGGATTATCTTCATCGAGTGGAACAGGTACGGAGCAGTAGGGGAGTGGTCCGGCAGCCTCCGAGGCTCCAGGGACGTCTTCTTCTGCTGCGTCAGCCTCGGCAGCATGGTCAGCGAAGGAGCGAAGGCCCGCGAAGCCGTCGGTGGGGTCGTCTGAGTTGGCAATGTTGTCCAGGTAATGCTGCAGCGTCAGTCGCTCGTAGAAGATAACATCACGTGATGCCACCGTATTTTTGTCGTGTATGTCGAGAATCTTCCACGCGTGAAAATGTTTGGCGATGCCGAGGTGTAGTCCCCACCGAGCTCGTTGAGTGAAGCGTCCTGCTCGAGCTGTGTGGGGTCTGTATTGTACCATGCAGCCGAAAACTCGAAGTAATTTTGTGCTGCCCCTTTTTCCCGTCCACAGCAGGTGTGGTGATGCGTTGTTGGGGAGCGATGACGAGGACAACAGGTTGTGCAGGTGGACTGCATGTGTCATCGCGTCTGGCCACAGTGCGTTGGGCAGCCTCATCCCCAGAAGCAGTTTTCGCATCGTCGTCTGCAAGGTCCGGTTCATGCGTTCTGCTACCCCCTGCTGCTGGTGAGCATAGGGCAGAGACACCAGGCGTCGGATTCCCCTTTCCGCGAGATAGGTCCTGAAGCGTTGTGACTGGTATTCCAGTGCACCGTCTGACTGGAAACTCTTGAGTTTGGTTCCTGACTCTCGTTCGGCGATTGGAAGCCATGTGGTGAAGGCCTCGAAGGCTTGATCGCGCGTTTTGAGATTGAAGTGCCAGACGTATCTGGTTGCGGCGTCGATGAACGTGATGACGTAGTTGAAGTCGGCTTCGGTGTCGTCTCGAGGCATGTTTAGAATATCGCTGTAGACCTTTTCCATCGGAGCGTAAGTGGGTGCGCTTGGATTGTGATGGGCTGGGAAAGGTTGATGAGGAAGATCTGCTTCGGGGCACGTGAAGCATCGTGCGCGTGGTCGTCGGAGTTCCTGGCCGCTCGTCGTCAGAAGGGCGTTGCGTTCTAACACTTCTGCTTGGATTGTTTGAAGTATCGTGCTGTTTGCAGGATGTCCGAGACGTTGGTGCCAGATGTCGTCGGGAGCGCGGTGACCGGGCGAGCGGTGGTAGATGTCGGCGTTGGAGAAGAACGCGACGACCGAGGCGGGACTTCGACAAGCTTCTCGTGTGGCGGGCATAAGTTGGTCTGCTTCGGTTGGCTGTCCTCGTGTCGCTGGTGGTGGTACTCGGCTGGGTCCTGCTGCCGATACTGCAGGTGATGGTTTTGTTGGGACGCTTGCTGGTACTTGTCTTTCTTGTCTGATAACTGCTAATGCCCGTGTTCTCTCTGCTGCAGGTATGGTGTTGGAGTGCCAGAAGCCGTCACTGTCGAAGTCGGGATCAAGATCTGGTGGGTGAGTCCAGGCGGCGAACGATACGATGCCATCGCTGTCGGCAGTTCCGCGGTCGGGGACGAAGTCCAACACGAAGACACCGGACTTCAGGAGGGCACGACCGATGAAGAGACCGCCCTTCCCGTGGTAAAGTCGGAACTCGTTGGAGAAGGAGTCGCACTCCAGGTGAATCCCCTTAGCCATTAGTTGGCTTACGCTTAATAGGTTGTATCCCAGATTGTCGACGATGAGGACCTTGTTGAGCTGAAGAATAACGTTTGTCTCCATTGATTGTAACTGAACCACGCCTTGTCTATTTGTTTTCAGGTTTTCGTTGTTGGCGACGGTGATGACGACGTCACGGTTGAGGCGTCGCTCGTGTTGTACGAAGCGTCCGGAGGAGCACATGTGCTGACCGCAGCAACTGTCCAAGAACCAGGTGTTCCGCCCGGTGGGTTCGGCGTTAGCGACTGCAGCGTATGTCGGGTTGACCTGAAGTCCTTGCGAGCGCGGCGGCGGGAATTCCTCTTCGTCTGGTGCGTAAGGGGGTGGTGAAGCGGGTGCGCAGTTGTCGATGTGTACCATGCAGTTGATGATGTTGGGTGTTTGTTGTGCAGATGTTGAAGAGCGCCTTGGAGGACTTGCTTGAGTGGAAGCGACTTGTGGGTCTGCTGCACGGTAAACGCGAGGGCGGTTGCAGTTGACCTTGGAGTGCCCGGAAGTCTGACAGTTGTGGCAGAACGGCGGCACGATGGTGAGTCCTCGGTTGTCACGTTGATCTTGCTTGCTGCGTCGGTTGTAGTTGTTGTCATTTCTTCTTTGAGTGTAGAAGACTAACTGCTGTTGCTTCCTTGGTTGTCTTTCCTCGAACAGATCCATCTCCTGTTGTTCAGCGTGAAGCTCGGCGCAGAGGTGCATCTCCGAAATTCTTCCGTGGGCTCGAAGAAGTGATCGTGTGGTTCTCCATTCTGGCCCGAGCCCGGCGAGGACAAGTGTCACGAAGCTTTCTTCAGTGATCGTTCCTCCGCACCGAAGCAGGCGGTCGCGGAGGGTCTGGCAGCGACTCATATACTGCATCGCCTTTTCCCCGGTCTTCATCTGTATTGTTGTCAGCTGTTGCATGAGTCTGCTTTGTGTCACGCTGTCGTTTGCTTGGTAAAGGCATTTGAGGTGGTGCCATGCGAGCTCCGCGGAGTTTCCATAACTCCGATACGTTCTGATGCTCTGCTGCTCTTGTGGTGACAGGTTTCTCAGGAGTACCGTGTACGCCAGCAGCGACTGATATGTGAAGATCTCTTGTTCCTTCCCAGTGCCGTTGCTTGGGAATGGCAGGGACCCGTTGAAGTATCCCAGAAGATGCGCGGCCTCCATCAGCAGCTCGAACTCGAAGCTCCAGGTAAAGAAGTCGTGTCCGTTGAACGGTGAGGATGTCTGAAGTTTGATCACGTGTGAGAACTGCGCCTGTAAACTTAAGATTTCATTCGGTGTTTGTTGTGAAGCAGCTGCTGTTGGCTGGGCACGGGGCGGCATGAATTCGAACGTCCCCGGCGAAGAATGATAAGGCGCAAAGGTAGGCGCTTGATTGTGTCGCCCGAAGGATGAGTTGTCGAGGCTCATCGGCGCTAATCCCATATTCCCTCCATTGCTCTGTGTTGAGTGCGCAGGTGTCCTTGTCTGCTGCTGCTGATCGAAGTGTGACATGAAGCTGAAGAATCTCTCCATGAGATTCGGGTCCACACTTGAAGAGGGAGACGGGGTCACCATCTCTGGTACTCTTCCCGTTGTTTCTTGAGCAGTCCCGGTCTCTGTCTGCAGTCCTGAGGTGTGCAGACCAGAGTTGCCGTGTTGAGTTTCTTGGGCGCTGGGTGAGCCCGTAGAGACTTTCTTGCCCTTGTTGTCCATGTCTTGTAATCAATGAAGTCGTTGAATTGAGTTGAGTTGCAGGTTGTTGATAGGACGTAGTTGCTGGGAGTTTGGTCTCTGACCAGCTCTGATACCATGTTGGGCTGAGAAAAGCCCTTAGGATCTTTTGCAGAGACTAAGTCCCAGCTTGTAGAGACTTGAGACTTGGAGTAGTGCAGCGGAAGTTGAGACGGTTGAACCCTTGTACTAGTATGTGAGAACAAGTGATTGATTAAAGAAACAAGCATACAGCAATATATAGAAGATAAGAAAGCAGTTGTAGAATACAGTTACAGGAACGGTTTATCGAGTCGCACAGCGACTCGATTGCCGCTTCGGTTACCATCCGTGATGTTGTAACGGTCAGTCGCAACCTCCAGTTGCGACCTTTCGAGTCCTTTCGCATTCTTTGTCCGCCCCCTCGTGTAACCTCCGTTGACTCGCGTGCTCCCCTGTAATCTTCCTCGAGTACAGTGTTACACTTCAGAAACGCTTAAGTCCTTGAGATATTTCCAACAGGTACAAACCCCTCCTTGTACTCCTCTCTCTTCCTAATCCAACTCTCTTTTCCTCTCCTCAACTTTCCTAGCACCTAAAACCTCTCGCCATTCTCATGGCTCCTCCTAGCTCCTAGCTAAACCTTGTGCCATTCTATGGCTTCCTAGCTAAGCTAGTCTTTTGACAGGGGGGACCCTGAGCAATCAGGGTACCTCATAACCAATCTGAGGCAAGGAACGGCTTTGAGTTGACATGCGGTGCAGTGCTATCTAGTTAGATTCCATGGATTCAGTCTCTTCGCTTTTGCACGGTGCCTCTGGATCTTAGTCTGCTCTGCTTTCTTCTATGCTTGTGTACATAGACTGGTGTGAACGAGCACATGTGCATTGTGTAGTTACTAGCAATGGCATCAGTGAAACAAGCACGAAGTGGATCACTAGGAGCGCAGCAAGCAATCAGCATACCATAGGAAATAGATAACATGCGCAATCCATTTGGCATGGTATCCTCCTCCCCCCCCCTCTCCACACCCTGGGTCAGGCATAATATGTGCAGTGGCAATGGCAAGGTCTTTCCCCATACCCTTGCTAGCAAGGCCAGAGCAATTCCGTGCCTATGCTCTTGATGAGAGCGATGGCCTTGTGTGCAGTGGTGGCCTATTTCTTGATGAGTGCAATGCACTCGATCTCAATGCGCGCATTCAGCGGCAGGGCTGCCACCTGGTAGGTTGAGCGCGCAGGGGCTGGTGCAGGGAAGTCTGCGACGACGGCGGGGGGGGGAGGAGTGGGGGTGGGGGGTGGGTGAGGAGAGGGGATGAGTGAAGGGGAAGGGAGGGAGGGAGGGAGGGTGAAGGTAGGTGGAAGACGGGCAGTTGACACAGGTGCAGAGAATGGCAAGGAGAAGAAACAGACATGGTCCGGCATGGCAGGGCATGGCATGGTGAGGTGAGTGGCTCCGACTCACATGTGGCGTAGATCTTATTCACAGTCCCGAAATCCGCAAGGTCCGCAAGCCTGGGGGCAACAAAGCGGGGAAGACAAGGGGGTGGGAAGACGTTAAGACGACAGCGAAAGGAGAGGACTTCCGGAAAACAGCCAGGAAACAGGGTTTCGGGTTTAGGATGGGGGAAGGGGGGAGACGGAGGGGGGATAGGATGGCACATGGAAGAAAGAAAGCAATGACTCCTTCACCGCATGGATGGACTGCTACCACCCACACACAAACATATGAGCATCCACAACCCATACATGATGTAAACCCACTTGTAAATGCACAAGGCATGGCACAAGGCATGGCACATGGCATGGCACATGGCATGGCACATGGCATGGCACATGGCATGGCACATGGCATGGCACATGGCATGGCACATGGCATGGCACATGGCATGGCACATGGCATGGCACATGGCATGGCACATGGCATGGCACATGGCATGGCACATGGCATGGCACATGGCATGGCACAGGGCATGGCACATGGCATGGCACATGGCATGGCACATGGCATGGCATACGAGAGCCGCTCACATGATGGTGGTCTTGACAACAGAGTCAAAGTCTGCTCCCCCAGCACGCAGAATAGCACCCATGTTCTTCATCAGCTGGGGGAGGGGGAGGGGGGAGCAGCGGAGAGAAGGGGACGGAAAGAAGGTAGAGGAAATGGGGGGAGGGAGAGCGGAAAGGGATGAGTAAGAAGCAAAGGGAGAGACTGAATTGAAAGGGCTGGGTGACACATATGAGCTAGGAGAGAACAGGCGAATGGAACCCCTGGCAGCAGCCGTCTGCGCTCTGCCATCCGCACTCAGCCATACGCCATGGGGCCCGACACATCAGCCGCCACGCCACCCACGGTGACTCTTGCGGCCCACTCAGAAGTGTTTCTTGGAGAAGTTGCAAATAGAAGCCCAAATCGCAACCCGTACCCTTCTCCCCCACATGCGCGCACCTGCTCTGTCTGTTCCTCCACTGTCTCCCCAGCGAACTTCATGGTCTGCCAAATGCGGGATGGGATGGGATGGGATGGGATGGGATGGGATGGGATGGGATGGGATGGGATGGGATGGGATGGGATGGGATGGGATGGGATGGGGTGGGATGGGATGGGATGGGATGGGATGGGATGGGATGGACACACCGGCATACAGGAGAGGTGGCGAAGAGAGGCAGGCAGAGAGGGAGAAACAGACAGGGGTGGTTATGTCATAGCGACTAGGGCAGTTTGAAGCTAGTGAGACTGAGCACACGTCCCAGAGAAAGAGATGGCATGGCCTCACCTCAGGCACAAGCCGCAGCATACACCTCAAGCACAAACCCCAACTCGACACTGATACAGGTCTAATGAAATATTTTCAGATACCCAGCTCCACGGTCAGATGATCATGCCACCCACTCTTCAAACCAAGCTTTGGAAGTCTGAGGGATTGTGAGGGCCCCATACAATCTCTCAGCCTCCCAAAGCTTGGTCTGAAGATTGAGTGCCATGAACCGTGGAGCTGGATACGTGGCAGCTTCTAACAAGTTTCTTCAGTGGGTTGAGAGAGGGAGAGAAAGAGAGAAATACAAGGACGGCTTGAGAGAGACAGAGGTTGATGGTGGTAACCGGCTGAGAGAGAGGGAGAGAGGGTGTTGTTGGTGGGGAGCGACACGGAGAGGGTGAATCAGAGTGCGTCTGCTTGGACTCCTACTCTTGCATGGCACATATTGCTAATGGGCACAAAGCAGGTGTTGCCTCACAGCACAGCCGTTACCTCTCCCCTCACCTCCCTTTCGTCTCCCTCCCTTAGACCTTGCCCTCTCCGCCCCAATGCCTTCCCACCCCAGCGCCACCCCAGCGCCACCCCAGCGCCACCCAGCGCCACCCAGCGCCACCCAGCGCCACCCCACGCACCTCGGGCACGAGTCCCAGCACGCCCGACACGTAGAGCGTGCCGTTCGCCTGGATGGCCTGGCTGTACGGCCCCAGCGCCGCCGGCGCCTCCGCTGTCGCCACCGCCGTCTTTCCGCCCGCTGTGGGGGGGAGGAAGGAGCGGAGGGGAAAGCGGGAGGGGGAGGAGATGGAGAGGCGGAAGGGGGGGGGGGGGGGAGGAAGGAAGAGAAGGAGGGAGAGAGATGGGGGAGATGGATGGGTACAACAGAGCATTGGAGACACGGCTGACGCGGAACTGAACTAATAACGAAGGCAAGCGGAGAATTGGAGAAGTCTGACGTCCACTCCTGGCAAACACTAGTGGAGTCGTTGGATGAGATCAAGAGAAGAGAAAACACTAGCCTAGGCTGAAAAAGCGGCATCCCAAGCTGCAGAGGAGCACGGGAAAGAAAAAAGGGACCCCCCCCCCCATCGCAGAGGAAACGGGTAGGGGATGTCCCCCCCCGCCCACCCCCGAACACCGCACCTGGCGCAGCGGATGCGCGCGCAGGGGAAGCGCGCGTGGACGCCGCCGCGATCCCCGCCGCGGCGGCGAAGCGGGGAAGCACCGAGGCGACGCGGCGACCCATGCCGGCGGAGCGCGACGACGACATGGCGGCAGATCTGGAGCCGGCAGTCGAGGCGCAGCACGCGGCGGCGACGGCGGAGCGACCGGCAAACGCGGAAGATGCCATGGCTGGGGCCTGGGGGGATAGCGCAGGGGGAAGGGTAAGGCGCGCGCAGGGGTTGGAAAGGGGCGGATGGGGAGAGGTATGACCAAAGGTTTTTTAATCGTCTGTAGAAATCGTCTAAATACGAACTGTCCGCGCGAAAATGAGAATACATGAGTACGGGAGCACTGGAGCTACAAATAAGAGACTGCGAATAAAACCTGGGGAATAGCGGGAAGGATAGGACGGGACGGCAGAAAATGGGTGGACCTGGATGGCTCTGGGCACAAGGATGACGGGTCACGGGAGACGCGGCGGAAGATGCGGGCAGTGGGAGGGAGAAGAAATTTGGTCTGGCGCAGCTCTGATCAATTAGGGCACAACGAGGGATCCCGTACGCGATACAAAACCGAGTCAGTTTCAACGCATGTTTCCGCATTCGTGGAGTCGGACTCTTGCTTTCCTCAAGCTACCTTAGATTTTGCATCACAAGCTCTCGCATGATATAATAAGCATCACTTTTCCGGGCTAGCACAACACATGCTCATGTTCACAATAGCGCATATATTGTTATGCAGTGCTTTTCTATATACGGCATGCAATGCAATGCATGGCCCTAAATAACCAAATCCTGGTTACTAAGTCGTCCAATTGAGTCTCGGGGAGTTTTGACTCCAATCCAAGGCCAAGAAACGTTAGTGGAAGGAGAGAGCACCAAACAGTGTGCGGCGGGAAGCAGCAAGCCAAGCATGTTAGTGGCGAGGCGACAGCGAGAAAGTGCAGCGCAGCGCACCCTCCTAGTGGGCTTTAATGGGCTCCGTGGCACGATGGAGCCAGTCCAAGTCCGATCCTTCCAGGAAGGGCGAGAGCTCCTTTCGGCAGCGAGCGTGGTAGGTGTTGAGCCAGTCACGCTCCGGCTTGGAGAGCAGGGAGTTCTCGATGAGCTTCGTCTGAATCGGCACCTGGTAGGGGTGCAGGGTGCACAAGGGGGAGAGGCGTGAGTGGTTCTTTGACCTGGGGATTCGTTTTGAGGATTTGGCCTCGGGCTTGGTGAGCAGGGAGTTCTCGATCAGCTTCGTCTGAATCGGCACCTGGTACCGGCGCAGGCGTAGGGGGGAGAGGGGTGCGAGGCGTGAGTGATGCTTTGATGTGGGGAGTGGTTTCGAGGATCTGGCATGGAGACCGGGATATGATATGGTAGTGGAATGACAAGGTTTTGGGGCGGGCAGGGAGAGAGGGGACAGATGGGAAGTGCATGAATGCATGAAAGCATCAACGACAACGTAGTGGCGCGTGAATGCTTCTTGCAAGGCACGGAGCCTGACAAGAAAAGTGCACATGCTGATACCCATGCCCATGCCCGTGCCCATGCCCATGCCCCGTGCCCCGTGCCCATGCCATGCCATGCCATACCATGCCATGACATGCCATGCCAATGCCCAGGCCATGCCCATGCCCACGCGCACCAGTGTGATGGGTTCGAACTTGAGCCAGCCGCGGTCAGCGAAGTTGTGAGCGCGCTCGGTGTGCGCCACCACGAGCACGTTCTCCACTCGCATTCCAAACTTGCCGTCCTCGTAGTACCCCGGCTCTGACCACACGGGAAAAAGGGGAGAGTAGGAAAGGGGGGAGAGGGGGAAAAGGGGGGAGAGGGGGAAAGGGAGAGGAGGAAAGTTGTGAGCGCACTCGGTGTGCGCCACTACGAGCACGTTCTCCACTCGCATCCCTCCTCGTAGTACCCCAGCCCTGACCGTACCAGGGAACGATGGGGGGGTAGAGGGAGGACGGGAAAGGAAGGGAAACGTGAGTTGCAAAATGGTGAGATGAGCACAGGAGTCGATCACGAGAACTAGCACAATAGGGATGGCACAGGAGGGACCCTATTCATTCTCCTCTTCCCTTGTGCGCTTCCCTTATACAGCCACATCTTGCCTCCCTGACCTCCCTGCCTCCCCTGCCCCCATTGCCCCCCCTGCCCCCCTTGCCCCCCCTGCCCCCATTGCCCCCCCTGCCCCCCTTGCCCCCCCTGCCCCTGGCGCGTACCGTCAGTGACGGTCATGTTGGCAGCAAGGGCCGTCTGAATGGCCTTGGGACGGAAGCTGATGAGGTGCGGCCCTGCCTCCATGCATGGGAGATGGGTGTGGGGTGCATGCACAGTGCAGTTCAGACATCTACGCATGCAAGCACAGTGCATGGTTGAACAAGGGGTTTATTCGCACGGTTGTTACAACTTACGAGGCAAACCATGTCCAACATGCAAGCTCAACCATGTGCATGGCAAGGAGTTCTCCTTTATGCTCACTCATCAAGCTCACCCATGCACGCCCTCAGTCCTCCCCCTCTCACCCTCGTGCACGTTGAGGAACGACCCCACGCCATGCCCCGTGCCATGCGGGTAGTCCAGCCCCTCCCGCCACAGCGCCTTGCGCGGCAGCACGTCCAGCATGTGGCCTGCGCCGCAGAGAGGAGGGGAAGGGGGGGCGGGAGGAGGAAGGAAAAGCAGGGAAGGGGGATGGACGGACCAGGTTGCGTGAGGAGTCTATTTTTGAGGCGCCTCAAAAATAGACTCCTCAACCAGGTTGCGTGAGTGGGCTCCATGCTTGAGGCGGAGAAAGGCATGGCTATAGACGCGACATGGTCTCTGCAGAGAAGGCCAGACGCAAGAAGAGAGAGAGAAAGAGTTGGGGGAGAAGGCATGTACCAGTGGTGCCGTTAGGGAAGATGACCTGCTCCAGCTCTATGTACCCCTTGAGCACCTGAAGGCAGGGGAGGCGTGCATGGGCCGCAAGATGCGAACGGGACGCACAGGCAGGCAGAGAGGAGAGAGAGCGGATGAAGGGGAGAGGCAAGAGGTAGAGGAGAATTCACGTGTAATCCAGAAGGTGGTTGAGGTGATTGAGGTGATTGAGGTGATTGAGGTGATTGAGGTGGTTGAGGTGGTTGAGGTGATTGAGGTGATTGAGGTGATTGAGGTGATTGAGGTGGTTGAGGTGATTGAGGTGATTGATTGAGGTGATTGAGGTGATTGAGGTGATTGAGGTGATTGAGGTGATTGAGGTGATTGAGGTGGTTGAGGTGATTGAGGTGATTGAGGTGGTTGAGGTGATTGAGGTGATTGAGGTGGTTGAGAGAGCGGCGGGGTTTGAGTGTGAGGCGGGGGATGCGAGCGAAGAGTGGCACCACAAGGCGAGCAGTGATGCATAGGCGATGGACTCACGAGCGTGTAGCACTTCTTCTCGTGCTCTGTTGGCCGCCCAAAGTGCACTGTACGGGTGACGTCTGTTGTGCCGTCCAGGTACTGAAGTTCAACAGGGTGAGGAGAGGAGCCGGGGGGAGATGGGAGACGGGAGAAGGGGGAGGGGGGAGAAAAAGGGGGAAGGGGGGGGAAAGGGGGGAAGGGGGGGAAGGGGGGAAGGGGGAGAAGGGGGGAAGGGGGAGAAGGGGGGAAGGGGGAGAAGGGGGGAAGGGGGAGAGGGATCGGGATGAAGGGGAGATGGAATGGAGGTGGAGAGCGGAGAAGTGTGACATGCGGCAGCACAGAAGATGTGCCTGGCGACTGCACTCCTGCAACCCCATGCCCCCAAACTCCCCGTGCGTTTGATCGCCCTCACCTGCCCCCCCGAGTCGCAGAGGAAGATGTGGTTAGCGGAGAGAGCAGCGCAGGTGGCGGGCTCCGGCTTGTAGTGGATGATGGCCGCATTGGTGCCCACCGACGCTATGGTGGCGAACGATGGCCCCATGAAGTGCTGGGAGGGGAGAGAGGTATGGAGGAGGGAGGAAGGGAGGAAGGGAGGAAGGGAGGAAGAAGGGGTTGAGGGAAAGAGGAGGCAGAGGGGAGGGAGAACGAGGTGTGTATCACCCGAAGCTAGACAACGCAATGACGTGTGGCATGGGGCATGGGGCGATGGGGGTTTGGGGCACGGGGCAGGGGCGTTCAGCTAGAGCAAGGCTAGCAGCACCTCACCTCCTGCTCTTGTCGGAACGCCTGCAGCTTATCCGACACGCTGCACTCTGTCAATGCCACCGGACCCCCTTCCTTCTCGCCCTCCTTCTCGCCTTCCTTCTCCTCTTGCTTCTCCCCTTGCTTCTCCGCTGGCTTCTCCGCTTCCTTACTCCCTTCCTTCTCTTTCTCCCCCTCCTCTCCCTTCTCCCCCTTCTTATCCCCATCCCCCTCGTGCACGTCAGTCATCTCCTCATCCTTCTCCTTCTCCTTCCCCTTATCCTCCTCCTTCTCGTCCTTCTTCACCTTTCCCTTCTCCTCCTTCTCCTTCCCCTCCTCCTTCCCTGTCTCCTTTTCCTCCTCCTTCTCCCTTTTCTCCTTCTCCTCCTCGTCTTTCTCCTCCTCTTCTTTCTCCTTCTCATCCTCCTTTTTCCCCCTCCCCCTCCCCCTGCCCTTCCCCTTCCCCTCACTGGAGCCCCCGCCCTTCTCTTCCCCCTCCCCACCAGACCCCCTTGCGATCCTGCTGCTGCGCCGAGTGGGGGTGGCATAACTGCCACAGGGGGGCATGGGGGCCGTGGAGGGAATGGGGGGGAAGGGGGGGATGGGGGAGATAGGGGGATGGGGGAGATGGGGGATGGGGGAAGATGGGGGGATGGGGGAAGATGGGGGGATGGGGGAAGATGGGGGGATGGGGGAAGATGGGGGGATGGGGGAAGATGGGGGGATGGGGGAAGATGGGGGGATGGGGGAGGTTTAAGACAAAAGGGTAGGAGGCAAGAGAAGGGATGGGGGGAGGCACGGCGACAGTGCGAGGTGCAAGGCAGGTGGGAGGCAGGTGGGAGGCAAGTGGGAGGAAGGTGGGAGGAAGGTGCAGCCGCAGGTGCAGCAGCAGGTGCAGTGGCACTCACGTGCTCTTGCGCTTGCTGCCTGCAGTTTCCACTCGCTCCTTGAAGTACCCCGGCGCTCCCTGCTGCTCCCTCATCTACGCACGCACGCACCACCACACACCATAGGGGCGAACAGGGGCGACCAGGAACGACCAAGGGGGGAGGAGAGATGGTTAAGGCGCACACTGGAAGGCCTTAGAGAGAGCGAATGTAAGCGCTGGATAACCCCAAGGAACCTCCCCAAAACCCCGCTCCCTCCTCCCTCCTCCCCATGTGCCCCACCCATGTGCCCCACCCATGTGCCCCACCCATGTGCCCCCCTGTGCACCTGGTGGTCGAGCCATGCAAAGAAGCGCACGAGTGCGACCCCGTCCCTCACATGGCATGCCCGTAGCCCCGCTATCTCCACCTCGTTCTGATGTACAGGCAGGGAGGGGGGGAGGGAGAGGGGAGAGGGAGGATGAGGAGAGGGGAAAGACACCAAATAACACAGCTTTGTGTATCTTGCTTTGCAGGCACTTCCGAGGCACAAGCAAGGGCGGGTCACCACACAACGACTCACTCTCTCCCCACCACATCCTTCCCCTCTCTCTCCCCATCACCAACACAACCCAAGAGGAACCCCCATCCCCTCTTCCCCTTCTCCCCCCGCGTTCAACATTTCCCCCTCCCTTCCCCCTTCCCCCCCCTCCCCTCCCCCCTCCCAGCCAGACCTTGATGGCTTTTTCAAGGGCGATGGGCGACTGGTGCAGCAGCAGGTGCTCGGCAGGGAGCTGCTTGCTCACGGCCTGGTACACAGCGTACGAGCACGTCGCAGGGGACAGCCACACACCGTACACCGGTGCGTCCACCGGTGCTGAGTCCTTTTCCTTCCCTTCCTTCTCCCCGCTGTTCCCTGCTGCCCCCTCTTTGGCGTCTGCAGCACCACCCTCTTGTGCTGTTTTGCTTGCCTCCTTGCTCCCTCCTTCTGCCTTCGCCTCCTTACCTTCCCCCTTCCCTTCCACTTTGCCTTCTTCCCTTGCCTTCTCCTCTACTTTCTCTCCGCCCGTCCCTTCGTCCTTCACTTGCTCCTTCTCCTTCCCCCCCTCCTGTACCTTCACCTCCTTTCCCGCCTCTTCCCCCTTCTCCTTGCCACTACCGCCCCCTTCAGCAACAGCAGCAGCAGCAGCAGCGGCGGCGGCGGCAGCAGCGAGCGCATGGAGGTCAGGAAGAATGGCGTTGTAGTCCTTCACCTGCACGCCCTCGCCCTTGAGATGCGCCGCCACCTGCACAAGCACACAGCGGTGGGAAGAGGGGAGAAGCCTTTGAGTAGACTCCAAAGCAAAACGGGCCACCACCTTCACAAGCCCACAATGGAGGGAAGAGCGCAGAAGTCACGATGAGAGAGAGGTGAGGGAAAAGCAAGGCAGGACTCAGGAGTAAGGAGCGGGTGCATGGAGGTCAGGAAGAATGGCAAGGTAGTCGTTCACTTGCACGCCATCGCCCCTCAGATGGGCCGCCACCTGCTCGTGTGCACAGTGGTGAGGCAGGGCGTGGGAGGGAGGGTGGGTCAGTGGTGGGTGGGGCAGGGCGTGGCAATGGAATGGGGGGATGTGGGAGGCTGGCGGACCGCACCACAGACCATGAGCAAGCCACTCATGCACCTGTGGCAGGCAGAATGCAGGCGCATCTCATGATTCCATGCACAACACACCCACATCAACCCACGGTTACCACCCCCCTTATTAAACCCCCTTCCCCCTTCCCCCTTCCCCCTTCCTCCAACCACGCACCTCATCCGTGACCTTCTTGCCATCCACGTAGATGGTGGCATCCCCCATGGTGACCACCGCGTAGCTGAGCACGACGGGGTTGTACAGCACGTCGGCCCCGCGCACGTTGAGCAGCCACATGACCTCGTCCAGCGCCGTCACCACCAGCGCGCGCGCCCCCTCCTCGCGCATCTTGCGCCGCACCCACGCCAGCTTGTCGCCCACGCCGCGCCCCGCGAACTGCACCGGGTGCACGCGCACCGGCGCGGACGGGGCTGCTGGGCGATCTGCTCCCCACACCTCGTCCACCAGGTTGGCTGGCGTCTGGGGAGAGGGCGGGGGGAGGGGGAGTGGGAAGAGGGGAGGAAAGGGCGGGGGGAGGGAAAGGGGAAAGGTGGAGGGAGGGGAGTAGGGGAAGAAGGTAAGGGGAGGAGAGGAGAAGACACAGTGGTTTAGTGATCACGGAGCAGGTCGAGACAAAGAGGGGTTTTTGAAACGGATAGGAAGGGAGGGAGGAGATGCGGAGAAGAGAGGAGGGGAGGGGAGGAGGCGAGGGAGGGAGGGAGAAAGGGACGAGCGGGAAACAGGCGTTGATCCCACTCACCAGCACGAGGTGCTGGCCGGCCTTGTCAAGCTCGTGGGTGACGCGCCTGGCAGCGTCGATGGAGAGCGTGGACGCGTCCACACCTATGCGCGCCCCACGGGGCAGGTGCTGATTGGGGGGGGGGGAGAACAGGGGAGGGGACAGGTGGGTGGGACGAGGCAGCGGCAAGGGGCAGGGCAGCGTGGAGGAGGGGCGGGGAGAGCCGCGCGAGGGGCGGTTTTGGGGGCTGTGGGAGAAGCCGAGGTGGAGACGACAAGGAGTCAAGTCAAGGACGCAGATGGACGCGCTGAGAGCGCGGAAAGAGTGGAAGGCACGGAGAGATCAGACAGCGCGGGGGAGAGGGGGTGGGAGTCGGGACGCACGGTGGCGGCCCATTTCTCGAGGGTGCCGGACTTGCAGAGCTGCCAGTCGGTGCTGAGCTGCGAGGCGGCCTGCAGGAAGTAGCGGCCGTCCGTCCACAGCAGCGCGTCCGACGCCGTCACCAGCGCTATGCCTGGGGGGGAGGGAGAGGTAGGGGCGGGGAGGGCGGGCCAGACAGGAGAGAGTGCGGGCACAGTCGAGGGGGGGGTTGCACAGCAACGCAGGGACGAGAACTGGAGAGTGAGAAATGGGGGAGGATCGCAGGGAAGAGGAAGAATGGGTACGGACCAAGGGGGAACCAGCTGTAGGATGGTCAGCAAGACGGCATGGCGGAGTGGCGGCGTGTGAGCACGTGAAGGCACGTGAGCAATATACAGCCATGTGAGCTCACCTGCGGATCCCGAGAAGCCTGAGATGAACTTGCGGCGCTGGTCGCACTCCGCCACGTACTCGCTCTGACGGGGGGCGGAGGAGGAGGGGGGGGATGGGAGAAAAAGGGGGACCACGAGGCAACAACGCGGGCAGCGCGGGCGGGGGACCAGATGCCGCGCTACAAGGAGCACTCATTTCTCTCCATTGATTTCTCTCGGAAACGGCTCAGTGTGCATGCAATTCGATTTCATCTGAACTGATCACTCTCTTTTTCCCTTTTCCCTTTCCCCTTTCCCCTTCCCCACCTGGTGCGCGTCCTCAGACGGCACGATATACGCCGCCAGCGCGCCGCCCTCGTACTTCGCCATCAGCGCGCGCAGCGCCGCTAGCTGCGCCGACGTGTCCACGGATCCCGGCGCCTCTGCCGCCGCACTCGGCGGTGCGGCCTCCGCGTCTGATGCAGCCATGGCGTAGCGGTAACGGTCAAAACGACGGGGAAAAAACGCGGACGCGGATCCGGCAATCGTGGGAAAGTACCGAGCGAGCACGACTAAGTAGTGGTACTTGGGAAAAGCACGACTAAGTAGTGTTGGTGATACAGTGGCATGCAGGGAAAAGCACGAATCTCAGAAATTGGCGCAGGGGAAAATGGAAATTGACTCGCTATAAAAATGACTCGCATTTGTGCTCGTTTCTTTCATGGATCTTTATCACATAATCTAAATTTGCAAGATGCAAACTTTTAACACGTCAATTATATGTAGAAATTTTTGTTTCCTCTGCCCATAATCCAGTTGAGGACAGCTTGATTGAGCTTCACTCCATTGGCTGTTGCCGTCGTCCATAAGAACGACGTTGTACTGCAATGCCAGGGCCTCCTTGCCAGAATAAACGCCCCAAAGTCTCTCCTCTCCTCCACCACATCCCTCACATACTTAAACGTGTCAAACGCCGCACTCACCACCGCAGCCTCCTCCCTCACGCCGCACTGTTGCGCCGCTCCCCTTGCCCAAAACCTCCTCCTAACCCACCCTTTAGACAAAACCATCCGTTGTAAGTCCCTGCGTGCTCTCAGAATACCCCAGATGCACGAGGAGGTGTGGGTGCGGTTGAGCGAGTCCAGCTGGCCGCCCAGCGCGAGGGCGACCTGATCGAAGAGGCTGTTGACGAGGAACACGGGGGCCACCATGCGGGACAGGGCGTGTTGCGGGAAGAAGCAGCGCCATCGCGTGCGCGGCAGAAAATCTGCTGTGGTGTGGGACAGGGGAGGGAGGAGTAAGTAGGTCAGTAGTATGGAACTTCAGTTGGTTGGAGAATGTTGGAGTTGGGGATCAGGAGGGGGAGAGGGAGCGGGGGACGGCTGGGAGGGTGGAGGAGAGCGGGGAACGGGGCAGGCGTAGCATGAGAGCGCAATAGGCATGTGATTTGGGGGTTGGGATGGATGGTTTTTGAGCTGACCTGCCATGCAATTGGAGTTGAGATGCATGGCGTGCAGGGCCACCACACGCTGCACTCGCGACCGCATGGGCCGCCTGCCTTCCCTGCCCCGTGCATCTGCATGCACACATGGGGGGACGCCACAGTGAACACCAAAATCCTCAGATCTAGAACCTGGCTCGCTCCGTGGGCTTAAGCCAAGCCAAGAGTAAAATGCATCAGATGAGTCACGACAAGAGACAGTACATCTCCTAAGAGCTACTGCTTGTCTGTTGCACATGCTGCTGGGACCTGCCCATTTAACCTGCCCCTTGCCCGCCTAGCCTGCGCGCCTTGTCTAACTAACCCGTGGGGCCGGCACGTACCCACGAACATGCCGCCATCCATGAGGCACTTGACTGATGCTTGCGGCAGCAGGCGCTTGAAGCGATCGCACACCGCCATCACGGCCTCTGCGCCCGCAGAGCACCCCGTCACCAGCACGTGCGTCGCTGCCCCCATGCCCCTTTTCCGCACCAGGTCTGCGCATACATTCGGGGGGGGGGGATAGGAGAAGGGAGGAAGGATACGGGCAAGGGGGTGGAGTGGAGTGCAGTGGCAGGTGGGGCAAGCTGAGAGCAAGGTGATAGAAACTGTGATAGAATGACATTGAGGGGGGGGGGGGACATATTAGCGCTACTGTGGCACTGCTCTGTGGGGCAGGGAGCCGTCAGCCATTCACTGTTAGCAGAGCAGTGGAGCAGTGGAGCAGTGGAGCAGTGGAGCCACCAGGTGCACGTGCGGCTGGCACCCACCTGCCATGAAGGCGCTGACTATGTTGTACCCGTCCAAATAAAGCTCCTTCGTCACTGTCCCCACGCCATACCCTCCCGCGCTCTGCCCTCCACCCGCTGCTGGGTTGATTACACTGCTCATGCTCGCACCGCTGCTGCTCCTGCCACCGCTTCTGCTTCCGCTGCTGCTGCTGCTGCTGCTGCTGCTGCTACTGTCGGTTTCACTACTGCTGCTGTCAATTCGTCTGTACAAGAGGAAGTCCCTCTGCTGATTACTGCTGCTGCTGCTGGATTTTTGCAACTTGCTAGGGTAAAAGGCGCCACGCCTGCTCTTATTATTCCTGCTGCCACCACTACCTTCCATTCCGTCGCTAACACTACGAACCACCCCTCCGAACCACGCGGCCGGCACGCCTGCGACCAGCTTGCGCCCCGCCGTCCCCGCGTAGCCCCCCCCGTCGCAGTAGTTGAGCACCGCCAGGTTCCACGCCGCGAGCCCGGGGTTCTCGCGGGGATCCGCGCTCAAGATGCCGCCCATTTCGCTGGGGATCCGCGGGTCCTGGGGAGAAGGGGGAGAGAGGAGGGCGGGATGAAGTGAGGTAGAATCAGGGCAGGGAGTGCTGTAGAAAGAGGGAAGGGGAGGGGGTGGGGGGGGGATGGGGGGGTTGGGGTGTGGGGAATGGCAAGCGGAAAGAGCGCAAGAGAGGGCGGACGGCGCGCGCACCTGGGGGGAGCGCGGCCATGCGCGGGAAGAGCCGAGATTGCCTCGAGCCCGCCAGGCGCAGCTGAGCGGCGAGGTGCACCACGCGCCGCCGCGCAAGTGCAACACCCACTTGCGCAGCCCCGCGCCCGCGCCTGGGCGGACATAATACCCGGGCGGACTGCAGTTGCGGGGGCGGGCGGAAGAAGGGCGAAATTAGAAAATCAAGTACAGTGCCGCAGAGGATTCATGAGGGCTGGTTGCTCGTTTGCTGCTGGCATTTACAGTTTTCTGAAGGAATGCTAAAGCGAGAGCGCCTTGGTCAGCGCTAAAGCAAGGATCAGTCCGTGCACCTTGGTCACGCCAACCCGCAGCTGCCAGGCAATCGGTGCGCCGACATAAGCCGGTCAACGCCTGGGTGCCCGCAGCTGCAGTAGGGCTTCCAACCTTTCCCTGGAGGCCGTTGAAATGCAAGTGCAAATGCGAGGGCGAGGGCGAGCAGACGTGCGCACCTGCCGTCGAGGCACTTAGCGCCGAACGAGTTGTTCGGCAGCAGAATCAAGCGCGTTAGGCGGTTCCCGCCCTGTGCCGCCGCCGCGTCCTCGACATAGCCCCAGCAGCCGGCAACTCCACAGGCGAGAATCAGCACGAGGGAGCGGATGGCGATGCGCGCGTTGCTTCGTACTTTGAGACTGAGGAGCGGCGGCGCTGAGGCACCGCCGGGAAATCGTTGCGATGCGACCATGGTAGTAGTAGATTATGGCGTGCGAGGGCATCGAGGAATGTTCGGCATTACTGGGGGCCAATGATATGGGTCGTGAGACGGAGAGTTCACGGGTGGTTGCGACGGCAGAAGCAATACTGTTGGGAAACTGGAGACCACACGGCACAGTCAGAGCAGAGCACCACCAAGGAAAGTTGGGGGGAACCAACCACTGTGCAGAATTGGTCAGTAGTCCCCGCGCGCCATCCAGGGTGCGTCCTGAGGACGCGTTACAAGTCGGACCAAGAAGGGTTCAAGTTTTCAACATTCAAGATTCCGGTGTGGTTACCTTATTGTAACCTATTTACACCACACAAATGTTCCAACGCGGTCAAGACGCCGCGATTTTTCGCCCCCGCCAGGACGAACGCACGTCGCGAGATCTTCACCCCCATGTTCGTCCACAGCGACAAAAGTACCGAATCGGCACATGCCGATCGTGGCGAACATATGCAGACGAAAACTTCACCCGCTTTTTTCGGTTGTGGAGCTGGCTGGGCAACCATGTGTTTTTTCGTAAGTTCGTTTTTGTCGCCAGATTCCCGTCGCGCGAATTTTGCATCTTGAACGACAATGGACGAACCGCGGTTGGGTACAACTTCCACCCCCCGTCTTGACTGTCTGTATTTTGATCCTTCGCGATCAAACTCCCGGCGGAGGCATTCGAACGCGCTGTTCATCCGAAACTGCAAATCTCCGTCTTGGTCCAACTTGAGCCACAATTTTGAAGAAATGTCCCACTGGAGCCTACTGTATCGCACATAGCCCGGAGCTTAATATGCCAGACCAAGCTGCACCGAGTGTTCAGCACTTGGGACAGGCCTTCATGAGGACTAGGGTCACAGCAGCCAAGGCCAAAGTGAGGTTGGGTGAGTTTGGTATGGGCTGGCTGCTGCTGGCTAGTTCCCGTGCGCCAACCAGCGCTTCGGAAAGAGGGGCTGGTGGGGGCATTCCAGCCAATCAGAAGTAGCGCGTTTCGGAAAAGTGACAACGACGAGGCTTCGCATTCGACTGGCTACAGTTTCGATATAATTCAATGTAATTTTATGACATGAAGCGGAACACTATCTGCATTCATAGCTCAAATCTAGACGGGTATAGCAGAATTCGAAACATAGTTCAGATGAAACCAGATCAAAACTCAAACAAAACATAGTTCAAAGGAAACATGGCTCTGATGAATATAATCAAAAAAACATCACACGATTCTTCAGTGTTCTTTTCTGATATTTGCCCCACGTTCAGCCGCTTCAATTACCTATGAGCACAACTCCCACGTTGCTGAATAAGCCTCTGGTACTTGCTGGTTCGCAGGTAATCCAATCGTCAGGTCCCCATTCCCTGCGAGTCTTGTGAGTCATGTGAGCGTGTGAGCGTGTGAGCGTGTGAGCATCGCTATCCCCTATGGATGTGCTATTCCCCTTAGAGTCCGCGCTCGGCCCGTCCGACGACGCCTTCCTCTCACCCCCGCCACCTTCCGCCTCCCCCTCGCCCTTCTCCCCAGCGGCAATCGCCGCCGCCTGGAAATCCGTGCACCATGCCGCGGCTGATGCGGCGGATTCTGCGGTGGAAGCAGCCGCGCTGCCGGATCCCCCGTTGACGCGCGACCAGCTCGCCGCCCTGCGCCCGCATTTGGCGCTCCTGCGGCGGCTGCGCTTCATCCTCGCGGTTCGGGATGCCCAAGCCGCGTCGCTGGTCGCGCTACTTAGGCGGCTCGATGCGGAGCGGTCTGTAAATGCCAGCGGGTTCGCGTCTGACAAAGCAGGCGCCGCGGAAATCGCGGCGCATGCTGCGGAGAGCTGCTTGCTGGTGGTGGGCGCGTGGATTAGGAAGGTGCGGCAGCAGGCCCCCCTAGCAGTGACGAGGCAAGGAGAGGCAGGAGGAGGAGGTGCGAGGGTGGGCGGGTTTAGTGGCGTTAGCGAGTCGCAGTGGCGTGTGGTCAGTGGCGGCATTGAGGTGGCTCAGGTGGTTATTGGCAGAGCGGAGAGGCGCACGTGTGAGCCTCGGGATTGGGGGGATGACGCACGGTGGGCAGGGGGAGGGGGGGTATCAGCTGCAGTGTACCTGCTGGGTGTTGCCTGCCACTGCATGGCACAGCAGCAGAACCAGCAGCAGCTGCAACAGGAGGAGGAGGAGAGGGATGAGAAGCAAAACAGTGATGGAGAATTCATGCACGTTATGGCGGCATCGCTGCATGCTGCCATGCGCCACTGTCCCCATGCCATCGTCCATTCCTGCTTCAAGGAAGCCCTTGCAGGCATGGGCTATGCCATGCTCGCATGCACCCTCACTTTCTCCGCCCCTCCCTTCGACACACCCTCTCCTGCACCTATCCCCACTGCCCATGCCACAATGTCCTTCCCAGCGCTTCTTTCCTCTCTCCTCCACCTCAGGCCCTTGGCCTCCAAGCCTGCACCATTGCCAGCACCACCCGCAGTAGCAGCAGCAGCACCAGGAGCGGCAGCAGCAGTGCTGGTCGGCCCAGACGTGCCCCTCTGGTCGGCAGTGGTGCGGTGCGTTGAGTTCGTGACTGCTCGCTCTGCCGTGCTTCTCCCACCCGCACAAACAGCACCCCTCCTCTTCTCCCTCCACTCCGTGCTCGCTGCTGCGCTCCCCCCATCCTCTCAACCATCCCCACCTCCTTGGGATCATCCCAGAGGCATGCCTCCTCCTCCTCTACTCGCCCCTCCTCCCCCCCTTCCGTCCCTCTGTGCGCCTGTGGCGGTGCTGTGTGTGTGCGGTGTGCTGCGGGGCCTGTATGCAGCGCGGCACCACCACCTCTCCCTGCTGCGCCCACACACACTCAAACAGGCCGTGTCGAAGGACGGGCCAGCAGCCCTGCCTGCAGCTGCTGCGGAATCCGCTGCTGCAATTGCTGAGGCACAGGCACAGGCACAGGCACAGGCAGCGGCAATGGTAGGACCAGTGTCTGCAATTGTGTCCAAGGTAGCGGTGAGGGCAGCTCCTGCTAGCAGCCCGCTTCACAACAGCAACAGCAGGCAGAGAGGAAGTAGACCCAGCAGGAGCAGCAGTGCGAGCAGCAGTGAAGCATCCCCCTCCTCCCAGCTGCGAGCCAGTGCAATTGGCGCCTACAGCCCTGCTCTCTTCCCCCCCCTCTGCGCCCTCGAGCACCTCCTGCTCTCCGCTGCCCGCTCTGCTTGCCCCTGGCCTCCCTCCTCCCCCTCTCTCCCCACCCTCGCTCTCTCCTCACCACCGCCACTCAAGCACAGAAGAGAGAAGGGAGGCGTGTGGAAGGAAGAGACGAAGGGGCTGGGGGGCGAGGGCGTGGAGGCCCTTTCTTCTGCTGGCCTGCCTGCTGACCTGTGTTGGACCCAGGAACCTCTTCTTGCTGCTGCTGCTGCTGCTGCTGGTGGACGAAGCTGCAGCAATAGCACCTGCGCCAGCAGCGGCAGCAGCAGTCAGCAGCAGTGGTCGGCTCTTGTGTTCCTGCGAGCGGTGGCCTTCGCCCTGTGCCAGCTCATGGCAGGGGGTCGGCCAGGCCTCATGACTGTGCATGCCATGGGGGGGGATAGGGACGGGACTGGTGGCGGTGATGGTGCGGTGCTGGAGTGCCTGGTCGCTGCTCTGCTGTCTGACTGCCTGCAGCTTGGCCCATGGCACGCTGCCGCTGCTTCCCTCGTGCTGCATGCTCAAGCACAGACAGAGCCACACTCCCAAGCACAGGCAGAGACACACTCCCGGGCACAGGCACACGCACCAGCACAAGCTCTAGTACAGGCAGAAGCAGAGACACGAGCCCGAGCAACACACAAGGAGGGCCTAGAGGGCTATACGCTAGCTGCAAGCAGGCAGCTGGTGGCAGCACTGCCGGTGTTGGTTGGGGGGCCGTGGGTGCAGCAGGCGGGGGTGATGGCGCGCTGCGTGTGCGATGTGGTGGAGGGCAGACACGGCCTGTCCGCACTGCATGAGGCTGCTGTCAAGGCCATGGCGCCCGTTGTGGCTGCTGCTGGTGTGGCGAGGGAATCAGCAGGAGAGGCAGACGAAACAAGAGGAGCAGGGGAAGCAGGAGGAGCAGGAGGAGCAGGAGGAGCAGGAGGAGAAGATAAAGTATCAAGAGCAGCAGCAGGTGGTGGAAGCAGAGGTGGCCGCAGGCGTTCTGCGAGTGTTGCCATTCAAGCCGAGTCCCTGGTGCCCTTCCCCGCTCCTCCTCCTCTCCTTCCCCTCTCCAACCGCGCATCCCTGCTCTCCCTGGCACGCACCCTCACTCGCTACTCCCTCTCCCTCAACTGCTCCCACCGCATGTTTGCTGCTGCTGCTGCTGCTGCTGCCGCTGCTGGATCAGGAGCGAAAAAAGCAGGGAGCAATGGCCCTGGCAGAACCATCGCTCCTGTCCTGGCAGCAGAGAGCACCACGGACCTTGCCTTGCTGCAGAGAGCAGCGGACGCGGCAACCACGGTGCGGGCCGGTGCATTCGTGGCAGCGTGCGTCGTGCTGTCTAGCATCAGCAGCACCGTTGCAACGCTTGCTGCTGCAGAGGATGATGAGGGCCCCTCGGATGCGCGAGTAGCAGTGGGGTCTGGAGCAACTGCGGATAAGAAAGCAGACGATCAGGGTTCTGGTCCCGATAGGGGGAATGGGGTTGAGGGGGTGAATAGGATGGGTGAGGGGGTTGAACGTAATGGGGCGGAGGGACATATTGGTTCAGCAGAAGCAGCTGAAGTGAGCTGGGTGAGGGGTAACCAGGAGGGGGAGCAGCAGCAGAGGGTGGGTGAACAAGATAATCAAGGGAGTGCAGGGGACGAGCACATGGGGGGAGCAGCTGCCTGGGCCTGGAGGGACGTGCAGGGAAGGGTGGCAGTGGAGGCGTTGACCAGCCTGGCCTGGCTTGACTTCTCCCGAGTCAACGTGGGTCAACTCTTCCCTGCTCTCGTGGCAGGGAGTGTGGAGATAGTTAAGGGGGGGGAGGAGGGAGCAGGTCGAAGAGACTTGGTGGAGGGGAGAAGTGTGGCGGGTGTGAGGGGTGGGGGGGGTTGGAGGACGAAGGGGCAGGGTGTTGGAAGAGAGGTGGCTAGGAGGCTGGATGGAAGGGGTGTCAGGACAGCGAGTGACTTGTGCTTGCAGCTGCCGTCAAGCCAGTTGGTGGCGCTGGGACGAGGTAGGACGACAATGAAGCTCGTAAAGACAACGACCTTCCCTGTCGCCAATCCCTCCTATCTACTATCTCCCCATTTGCTCTCTCTCGTGTGTCTTGCCCTCTGCCTGCTCACCTTTCTCAAGGGTCAGTGGGTTAGCAAGCCAGCGGGTCAGCGGGTCAGCGGGTGAGCGGGTGAGCGGGTGAGAGGGTGAGCGGGTGAGCGGGTAGCGGGTCAGCGGGTGAGCGGGTAGCGGGTGAGCGGGTCAGCGGGTCAGCGGGTAGCGGGTGAGCGGGTCAGCGGGTGAGCGGGTGAGCGGGTGAGAGGGTGAGCGGGTGAGCGGGTAGCGGGTCAGCGGGTGAGTGGGTAGCGGGTGAGCGGGTAGTGGGTGAGTGGGTGAGCGGATCATCGGGTCAGCGGGTAGCGGGCCAACGGGTCGTGCTCCAGTGGTGCTCATTCAATTGGTGGGCTCATTCTGAATCCACTCAGGGTGGTGGCAAACCACCTGAAAACCTATCAGGGTGGTGGCAAACCACTCGGAAGCCAATTCAACTCCCCACCCTCCCCACCCTCCTGCCAGGCTCTTTTTTGCCGGTGCTTGCGTCCCTGGCCCCGCCCTCCCGGGCCTACCACTGGCAGCACGACCCTGCTGGCTCCTCTGCGCTGCTCTTCCTCTTCTGTGCTCTGCCCGCCGCCCTTCCGCGCCTGCCCCTCCACCTCTTCCTGCACCGCCTCGCACCCCTGATCGTCATGTGAGGAACGCGTGGCTACTGTGTCAAAGCAATTTCCATATGCTTCCGGGTCGCATCTTATCATCATGCACAGAATGCGCGGCTCTATTGCGTCCCATACTATGTTATAGTCACCGTTGCAGATGCAACGAGGTTGAAAATGCACGCGCTCTGCCTTCCCGCCTCCCTGCCTGTCCGCCTGCCTTCCTCCCCCCAGGCATCTCTCCCACCCGCAGCCCGTCCTGTGTTCTGCAGCCCACGCCCTCCTCGCCTCCTTCCTCTCCCTCCATGCCGACACCCTCCTCCTCCTTGTGTACCCCACTCCTCCCTCCTCGCCCTCCCAACCCGCTTCTTTCCCCTCGGCTCTTCCGTCTCTCCCTTTCTTTAACAAGAAAGCACCCCACGGATCCTCCCATGGCGATAGCAGCACCAAGAGCGGGGCAGGAAACACCAGACGCATTGGCTTGAAGCAGGAGGAGAGTGGCAGTGAGGGAGGTATCGGCGCTGGTGGTAGGGAGAGGGGTGAGGAGGAGCGGGAGGAGCGGGAGGAGCGGGAGGAGCGGGAGGAGCGGGAGGAGCAGGAGCGATTGCTGGAGGAGATAGAAGGAGTGGCACTGGCATATGTGGAAGAGTCTGTGAAGGTGTGTGAGGGATGGCAGGGGGGGCAGGGAGGGCAGGGAGGGATAACATCACAGGAGAGAGACTGTGGGGCATACCCACCCCCCCTCGCTGTGCACATGCCGTGCTCCCTTGCTCTGCACATATCACCCTGCCTGCATGTCTTCTCTGACCTGCGCACATTCTTCTAGGCACTCCTCTGCCTGCCACTGCCCCCCCCCCCCCTCCCTCCCCTCTCCCCACCCCCAGCTCTTCCCTGCCGTCACGCCCTTCGACGCCTTCCGCCAGGGCCTTGGCTCCATCGCTCGCTGCCTCCCCCCAGGCCGCCCCGCCACTGTGCTCTGCTTCCGCCTCCTGTCCCGCCGCGTGCTCTGCCTTGTTGCAAATGCTGCTGCTGCTGCTGCTGGTTATGCTGGTTCCACTGCTGATGCAGGGGGAAGGGGAGGGAGCGAGAGCAGCAGCAAGCAGAGGGCGGATGGGGCTGAGGCGGAGGGAGCAGGGAGCAATGGGGATGGGGGAGAAGGCCAGGGCGGGCAGCTGAGGCCGTTGCAGGGGGAGAAGGGCAACGAGCGGGCTGCTGGGTCTGGAGGGGAGGCCACGCACGAGCAGGCAGTGGCAGGTGTTAGGGGTGCGAATGGAGGGAGTGCGGTGCAAGTGGGTGCCACTGGTGGATGGCGGCAGCTGCTGCAGCTGCTGCTTCATCTCATTCCAATAGTGGATGTGCAGGTCAGTAACCCTTTTGTTGGGATGCGGGTCAGCGACTGAGCTGAAATGTACCGGATCTGACCACGTGTGGTGTTGTTACTACGACTGCCCCCTCTGGTCCATGCACGTCGCACTCCCGCTTCTCTCACCTATCTCATGCCCCCCCAGTTATCTGCATTTTCGTACATTCTCTCATCACGTACCGTATTGTCGCCCATCTCTACTGCCTTCCCATGGCAGGTTCTGCCTCTGCTGCTGCAAGAGGTGGCATCAACCCTGGTGGCTATCCGCCCAGTTCCACCTCAGGCCCCTCAAGCTCATTCCACACACTCACCAGCTCCAGCCACAGGCAAGGAAGAGAGCAGTGGAGAGGGCACCGCACAGCCTCAATCCGAGTCTTTGCAAAGGGAGCAGCAGCAGCCGAACGCTTCAGTACCTATGGAGCACTCAGCAACAGAATCGCCACATGGGGAGAGGCAGAATCCGAGCACGCAACCTGACAACCGTTTATCCTCAACCAAAGCACACCAGGTGCAGGGTCACAGAGCTGCAGGGCGTTCCGAGAGCTCCCAGGGGGCTGAGGGTGAGGAGGGAGCAGTGAGGAGGCAGTGGCAGCAGGACGCGTTGGGGGAGCTGTACTCGGTGATCTCGGGGTGCTACGACTACGTGCGACGCCCCACGCTCGTGTCCTTCTTCCAGACGCTCTCCTTCATGTGCAACCATACTGGGGGTCTCGCGACAGGCCAATCAAGACTTTAGGAACGGGCTTCTGTGTGCCAGGCTGCCAGCACTGTCAGCAGCAGTATGTAGCGTGCCGCAATATCGAGCCAGTGTAGCTTGAGGCATGTGGCTGAAGACTGTCATGGAGATGTGAAAGAGTACTCCCATCGCAACAGTGTCTAGTCATAGGACAGTGTCACTCAGCCTAGCATTGACATAGCAGAAAGATAAGTTTAGACAAATGCAAGTTTGAAGACCATGCAGTTTGTATCCTGCTAACTGGTCCATCGGTGCACAGCAGAGAATCCAGCATCACCAGCAGCTTATCCTCCAGTGCAATAGCCATGACATCATGTTGAAATTACAGAAAAAATACCCTTAGGGAAAATGATGAAATTACAGTATCCAAGCAATGCAGGGCCACCTGTGTCAAAAGGGAGAGCAACAAGCTGTTTACTTTTGGCCAAAGAGGTTCTTGAGGCTCTTGGCAATGGCCTCGAGGGCATTCTCAGCGCGCACTGCCTCCTTCTCATCGCTCGCCTCCTTGCGCTGCCCAGAGATCTTAATCGCGTTCGCCATACCCCACCCGTCTCGCTCGCCAATACCCTGCGACACTGACTGCGACGTCTGCTTGTAGCTGGCACCGCCACCGCTGCCTCCCTGCCCTGTCGCGTCGTCCAGGCCTCCCTCTCCCTTTGGGCCTGTGGGCGCAAATTGGAGGAATGGGGGAATATGAGCCAATAGTTTACCTTGGGAGACTGATTCCTAAAGCAAATGCATGCAGTGGCAATGTGCCCACGTGTGAATACCAGGGGGATTCACCTGGTTCATTCAAATTCAGTTGATGCCACCAGTTGAAAATGCCCTACAACTACGAAATCGTAAGGATACTGAAGCAGGCGCCAGCTAGTGAAGCGTGCAGGTGTTGTGCGGGAGAGGGACGGTATGATGTGCACTGCTCTGAACCCCGCCCAACCTCTTCCAATTCGGCTTTCACCAGCGGCTGTAGTTATCTCGGGATTCCGACAGGTCTCGCCAAACTGGTAGTTGCACAGGAGCTCACCAACTAAAAGCTGCTACATTGTGCAAAAACTCCTGCTACAAGCTCCTGCTATACCTATTCCCTCCTACCCAGAGCTTCCCGGCAGCCCGGCACTCACCGATGGGGTTGAGCATGTGGCCGATCTGCCCGTCCTTGTACTCGTACGCCGCCAGCTTCACCGGGGCCTCTAGCAGCGGCCGCACCTGCACGCACGAGGTCGTCAGACATTGACATGAGCGAATTCATAAGGCTGCAAGGAATGACCTCGATTTCAGGTGGGCATTGACAAGAAGGAAATTAGGGACCAAAGCAGAGAAGACGACCGGAAAACAAAGCACGAGGAAAACAGCGCAGAAAACAGAGCACAGAGCGGAGGAGACAGAAGCGGAAGGGCGACTGACCTCTTCAAGGAACTTGGTGTAGTCGGGTGAGGCGTGGATGTTGTTCATCGAGAGGAACGAGTCGAACCGCTCCCAGAAGTGGATCAGGTTGCTCTCGTACGCATCGCCCGTGCACTCGAAGTGGATGATTCCGTTGGCACGGTCCTTCTGAGAAAGGGGACGGTGAGCGAAGGCAGCACGAGCCAATTGCGTTAATACCCGATCACCACGGAAATGAGAGAAGGCAAAAGCAAAATTTCGAAGCTCGCAACGTATCTGAGAAACGCATACGTCGGGCCACGCCTACGTCGAGCCAAGCAATGCTCACTGCAAGAATCGATCAGCAAAATCTGTTTTTTTCCCGGATTTCGTCTCTTTACCTCTCGCTCCCGCTCACCTTCTTCTCCTCGGCCCATACGCAAATCTTCTTGCACAGCTCCTGCGCCTCCTTCTCCTTGCCTGGGGTGACCTCCAGCGTCGAGCTGAGCACGAGCGACCGGTCTGATTGAACCCTCTTCGCCGCGAACACGCCGAGCCGGCGGTACGACAGAGACGCTGGGACAGCAGCAGCAGAGGCACCGGCGAGAGCCAGGGAACGACCCGCGACCTCGGAGCGTCTGCATGCGAGAGACCGTTGCGCGGAGGGGGCGAGGCTCGTCCTCAGCGCAACAGCCGACGACTCGGATGCAGCGGCGGTGGAGTCCAGGCGAGCAGCCGCTGGCCGCGCCGACGAGAACTGAACTGATGCGGCCATTTTTATGGTCAAATTCTTCCCAGTTCGCAGATTTGAAGTGTCAAGAGTGAGAATGGGCAGTTCTGAAGGTGCAGAGGCTGCCTGGCTCTAAGGACTTACCAATCCAAGGATTCAAGAGAGTCACGAAAATGCGGTGAAGGAAAGTGAAGGTGCAATCAATTCGTGCTGTGAGAGGCAGAGAAAGCAGGAGGAGCCCGAGGGAGACGGTTCAGGCAGGGGGGGATGGAGCTTGGCTCATTGCTCTAGATGCACGATACGTGCCACGTGGAAGAGGTGCTTCCTCTGTGATGGTCAGCGTACGGGGCAAACTTGAAGCAGTGGGGCTAACTGAGGAGGGGCCACGAAGGCAGCCGAAACTATTGCCTGACAGGTGGGGACCCCTCACTGGCGGCGAGATTGCGAAATCGACAACTTCGCGGATAGAGCAGTGAACAAGAGTTGAGCAGGGGAACGGATTGGCGACATTGTGTGAAAGTCCCAGATTTGTGCACACATTGTATTTCCTAGTGCAGCATTTATCAAAAGGCCACGTTTAGCTTCAACTGTATCAGCCTGATCTCATGGCTATATAGATGGAGATGTAATGCAAAACGTGAGCTTGATTTCCTTTATGTTGAGCACTTATCTTCATTCATTTAGCAAATGCTTCAAGCATCATGTAGTACATATTATCCAAAAAAAACAAAATCATGCATGCAAGGAATTTAGTTTATGGTTGTTCTGCCCAGTGCTACAATAAGTGGCCTTAGATATCGACCCTAAACGTACACCTACGCGATCCCTATAGTGTTATGGGCTAAAAATTATCTGCAAAAAGAATCAAAGAATGGTGACCAATGGATCTGCATTGACGTGCTCGTCCATTCATCCGTTAATCTTAGAACTCAAGTTCTCCAGTGTATGTTTCATACACCAGTGCCTGCAAGAAGTAGGAACAAAAGCGTCAGATTGCGAGCAACGTCATCTTACAAATGGTAGGTACTCTTGAGACTGCAAGAGCTAAGATTACTCATGGGAAGGCGTGGATGCCAACCTGAAAATGTGGGCGCAGAGATGCTTGGACATGCCCCCAGAATGATGAGATGCATGCCAAGCTGTTATAAGATCCGCAGACAAAGAGAAAAACAAGTTACCACATTTCAAGCAAGGACAAAGAGATGGGAGGTGTGAAGAATAAGAAAATGCCTCAGATGCAAGCCGTTCCAGGATAACCTAAACGAATGACAAGCCAGCAAGACAAGAACAAAACGTGTGCGAAAACAAAATGATTGTAGAATATGGGGTGGGTTTAGTGCGTGGGGGGGAGGGGGGAGGGGGAGGGCGGTGCTACCTGCTTATTGCTTTGATGACTGTATGTGCCTCTTCCAAGTCTCGCTGAGTGACCTGATTCAGATACTCCAACAGCAGCCCCACACACTGCCTCACCTCCCCCCCTCCCTCCACCTCCGCACCCCCCTCCACCCTCGCCCATTCACGTCCCCGTACATGTGCCGAATGCTGCTGCTGCATGTGCTCTGCTGGTTGTATCTGCTGCACTGGCTGCATGGCCCTAAGCAGGGACCGGTTCAACCTGGAGAGGCATGTGGACAGCTGCAAAGGGCGCGAGGGGAACTGAAGGCTGAGAGAGCAGGAGGTGGAGGACTGGAGGACAGTCAGGCAGCATGCCGCAGCGGAGATGTCATGGGGTGAGGGCTCATGGATTGGAACAAGAGTGGCACTGTGAGATGTTGAGAGAGAAGGACGAGAGGCTGGAGGGCGCTGCAAGGCTTGCAAAAGGAAGTTCGACCAGATGGGGTGTGGCTGGCATGACACACTCTTTGGTGATGCTGCTCCTGCTGTTGCGGCTGTGGCTGCTGTTGATGCGTGTGTTTCTAAATCCTCAAGTGGTTGCCCTGGCAGCATTGCTGAGACAGCATCCGCTTCATGCCCCTGACGCTCACAGTCTCCATCTTCCATCGTGACCCTTCCCTCCATGGCCTCAACTCCACCCTGCCCATCCTCCTCCAAGCCCTCCACCTTCCGGCCCTCCTCCCCATCTGCATCCGCCTCACATACCCCATCACGCTGCCGCATCCTATCATCATCACATGAGCCTGACACCATACCACCATGCGCCTCCCTCCCCCCTCCACCACCTCCCACCTGCTCCAGACCCTTGCCTTCACTGCCTCTGTCTCTCGCCCCTCCACCACTCGCTTCCCTCACCCCTGAAACGCCACGAGCAGCAGCACCACAATCAGTGTCCTTCTCTAAGCGCCCTCGCTCTGTGTCCCTGCACGCCACTTCACCTTCTTCCTGTCGCTTCCTCGCGCTACGACCCCGGTTTTGCACCCTTGCTGCTCCCAGGCTGTGCAGAATCTCGCGCTGCAGGGAGGGGGAGAGCTCAGCGAGTACAGACTGATCGATCTGGGATAGGGACAGGCCCACATGCACACCTGCAGGTGACGCAGCTGCTGCTGCTGCTGCTGCTGGCGCCGCTTCTGGTAAAGCTTCACTGCAACCGTTATCCTGCCTTCCCCCCTCCTCGCTCCACCCATGTTCCTCAGATCTCACCCCAGTTGCGCTCCTCCACTGCCTATCCACCACCAGAGCAGCACCTACCGCACTCGAGCTACCCGCAGTTCGTCCCGGCAACCCTCCTGGCGACACTCTCGGCTCACTCCTTCCTCCCCTCCCCCTTCCTCTCCCTCTCCCTCTTCCCCTGCCTCGCCCCCTTCCTCGTCCTCTTCCCCCAGCAGCACTATCCCTCCCCTCCCCTACTACCCTCGCTGTGCTTCCACTCCTCTGCGCCCCAGCATCCTCTCCCCCTCGCACCTCGCCACCTGAGTGCATGCAATTGCGGGAGTCAACGTGAGAGAGGGGAATGGAACAGGCGGAGGAGGCAGGGCGAGCAGCAGAGGCGGAGGCAGCACGAGCAGAAGTAGCAGGTGGAAAAGCAGCTGAGGGGTGGGAGGACACAGATGCGGATTGGCGCATGGTTGAAGAGACAGGTAGAGGTGGTGGTCTTTCAGGGGTTGCCCGGGGGAACATGGAAAAGAGCGTGGTCTGCTTGTGCCGCGACTCATGCTGCCCTTCGTGCTGCCTGCTCCTCCTCGACCTCTTGCCCTGTGATCCTGACTTGATGTGTGGCTGCACTTGTCGCTCCTGCTGCTGTTGTTGCTGTTGCTGCTGCGGTTGCTGCTGCTTTGGGGTGGAGGCGCTTTGAGATGAGTGCTGAGAAGCGTCTGCGCCAGCTGCTGACCCAGACGATAGGGACGACGCATGGCAGGGCACCAGAACATGCTGCGGCTTCTCCTGGTGCTGTTGCTGCGCGTGCAGCAGCTGCTGCCTTTCCTGCTCCTGCCTTTGCTGCTTGTACGAGCTCTCCAGTTCTTGCTTGAGAGCAGGTGGCAGGGCGTCGAGAAACGAGGCATCCCACTGTTTGTAACGAATAACCACAGACGCCGGAGGCAGGAGGCATAGGGCAGAGACAGAGGCTCCACCATGAAATGAGTCGCCAGAGAAAGCATGAAAGAGAAGCAGGCAGGGACGAAACGAGTAGCATGGGGTTATGGGTATGGGAGGTGGAGCAAGCATTAGATGGCATGGAAGATGACGCTTCCAGGCACAGCAAACAGCAACTCAACCAGGGCATTTTTCCATCTATAACCACATAGCGGCAGTCTGACGCTGACATATGGCACGGGAGATGACATGCCATGGGTGGGTTGAATTGAATGGGCGTACCTGGGACAGGTGCTACCTGGGCGTACCTGGGACAGGTGCTACCTGGGCGTACCTGGGACATGGGTGGGAGTACAGGTGCTAAACCATCCGCCCGCCTTGCAGAACCATCCTCGCCAACAGCTGCTGCTGCTGCTGCTGTTGCTGCTTCTTCAACAACAGCCTTTCCTTTGCCCTTACAACTCCCATCCCTCTCGCCTCTGCTGCTCCCACCTCCAACCCCTCCCCCCTCGGAAGTGCCAACACCCAAAGAGCCCTCCAAACCAACCACCGCCATGCCTTTCCCCTTATCAACAATGTTACCGCGTGGCTCTGCACCGACCCCCCTGACTCCACACGCTGCCTCGTTCGTCCCTGCCTCCCCGCACACTCCCTTCTCCCCACCCACCATCTGCCCCGTTACGGTATCGTCACGTGCCTGAGATTTCATCACCCCACTCCCTCCCACCGACCAGTCCCCTACCACGCCATCTTGCCTACCCACTTCCACCACATCCAACACCTCTGCCACTGCCACCTGCTCCTCCCCCGCCTGCTCCTCCCCCACCTGCTCCTCCCCCACCTGCTCCTCCCCCAACTGCTCCTCCCCCACCTGCTCCTCCCCCACCTGCTCCTCCCCCGCCTGCTCATCCCCCACCTGCTCATCCCCCAACTGCTCCTCCCCCACCTGCTCCTCCCCAGCCCTCTCCACCTTGGCACACTTCTTTGGAATCAGATGACTCTCAGCCCTGTTGCTATCATCTCCTGATCCCACACCCTTCCCTTCCTCTCCCTTACACAACTCTCCCTTCCACGCCCCTGCATTCCCCTCCCAACCATAACTCCCACGCTCTTCCCCCTTCTCGCTCTCTTCCACGCCCATCAGCTCTCCCCCTTCCTCTGCCATTCTCTCCTCTTCTTTCACCTCATTTCCGTCCTCCTCCTCCACCTCATCCACCTCTCTCCTCTCCAGCACAGAAACCCTCGACTTCTTACACACTCTCTCAATACTCCCAAAGAACCCACCACCCCCGACCCCCTTCCCCCCTGCCTGTTCCAGCCGCGAAACCTGCAGCCCCACACCCCTCACATCCACCGGATTCGCCCCAACTCCCAAAAACAGCGCCCGGGCAGCCCGCAGAAGGACTTTCGGGTCGGCCGTAGCAGCAGGCCCAAGGCTCCTGGACTTACTATAGCTGTCGCAGCGGCCACACCCCATGAACTTGACTGGCTCCACTGGCTCCCCCTTCGCCCGCACCCGCACTTTCACGCACAGCGACCGCCCCGCCATGCCCGCACCATGCAGCCGCGCACACACCTCCTCCACCAAATCCCCCAGAAACTTCTCCGCGTCTTCCGGCCCTCGGAACCGCACCCCCCAGTTGACATCCGCGCCTATGGACTTGCGGGTAGCAGCCACTGGAGCACCAGCAGCACCAGCAGCACCAGCAGCACCTGGCAGGGCACCAGGAGCACCTGGAGCCTTGTCCTTCGCTGCAGCTGGCACAACGGCACGGTCGTCCATGCCCCTGGCGTAGCGCCAGAGCATGTCCCCGGTCTTGACCCCGTGCTCCGCCTGGAGAGCGGAGTGCGAGAGGGCAAGGAGGTCGCCGCACGTGTTGATGGCAGCGGCGTGCAGCCTGGAGGTCAGCACCCCGCCCACACCGTGCAGGTCGGACACCGGCAGGTCGTGCAGGAAGTCAGGCGCCTGAGGGGATGTGAGGGGGACGGGTGGGAGCAGCGGGCAAGTCATTGCCAAGGTTCTGCCGCATCAGGGAAGATGCAAGAAAGAATGGACAGATACCATACAGGCAGTGGGAAGGAAGCAGCGCGCCCACCGTGTCCTGGGTGATGTGGAACTGGCCGTTGGGCTTGGCTTTCCTTGTTGCGACCCTAGCAAGCATGACGTTGTGGGCGATGCCAGCACTGGCCGTGCACCCCGTGCGCGCCTCTATCTCAGCGCGCATTCGCGCCACCAGCGCACCGGGGTCCGCCGTGCCCGGCGGCAGCTCCAGCAAGGCCTCGTCACAGCTGAGGCACTGCACCACAGGCGCGTAGCGGTGCAGGATGGCGTACACCTGATGCTCGGAAGGAAGGGGACGTACAGCAAGGGGTTGAACAGCAAGTTGAAACCGAAGGAGGTGGACGATACTCGGACACTGCACCACAGGCGCATCGCGGTGCAGGATGGCGTACACCTGATGACCCGGAGGGGGTGCTGGGAAGAGGACGAAAGGAAGGGAAGTTAGGGCAAAAGATTGTACAGCAAGCCGACATGCAGAAGTGCTTCACAGCCCGCACGTCCTGCTGGTGCACCCCAGCCCTTCCTCACTGGCGCTCACCTCATCTGCCACGCGCTCGTACGCCTCAAAGTCGTAGGGCAGCAGCTGCAGCTGCGGGCAGCGGCGCCTGGCCTCGCGCAGGAACATGCCCGCACGTACTCCATACGCACGCGCCTCATAGCTCGCCGACGACACCTCCCCTGTACCACCCACTGCGAACCCCGCTGCTGCTGCACTGCTGGCCCCTGCTCCTCCTGCCACTCCCCTCGCTGCTGCAGCAACAATAATGCTTCCACCACCACTGGCACTAGCATCCGCACCACCAGCGCCAGCAGCAGGTGCATTGGTGCCAGCAGCAGCAGGAGCAGCAGGGTCGTTCCTCCCTCGGCCGGTTCCCCTGCCTCCATAGCACACGGCAACGGGCTTCCCTCGGAGGTGCGGGTGGGAGAGCAGTGAGACCGCCACGAAGAAGCAGTCCATGTCCACATGCACCACCACCCGCTCCCTGCTGCCCATACGCTCCCTGCTGCCCGCACCTTCCTTGCTGCCCACGCCCTCCTTGCTGCCCCTCGCGCCCTCCTTGCTGCCCGCGCTCTCCCTGCTGCCCCTCGCGCCCTCCTTGCTGCCCGCGCCCTCCTCTACATTCCACAAAGCGCAGGTGCGATTCGCGTCTCCCTCTAGTGCCATCTCCTCCTTGTAGCCTGCACCATGCGAGCTGTGATCCCCAGACCCACCCTCACCTCTGGTTCCTCCCCCTGCCCCCTCTGCGCCCGCTTCCCCCACCGCCCCCACTGTCCCCTCTGCTCCATCGCCGGTTGCTATCGCTGCTGGTGGCCGGTAACGGTTGCGCCAGGACCCTATGAAATGCAGCCGGGAATGCTGCCCACGGACGAGACAGGCACGGAAGCATGTGCTCGGAGCAAATGCAAAGGAGCCACAGAAAAAACAAAAAATCATGGAACCAAACACGAAAAAAGGGAGAAAAATAACCCTGCCTCTGCACATAAACCCATGGCAGCAGCCACTCTCCCCCTTCCCATTCTCACCCGAAAATAATTCTGCACGAAGTTGGGGTCTGTCTGTGTGCTGTGAGCTCGGCCCCTTCCACTGCTGCTCGCCTTCGCCTTCCCAGCCACCCCCTCCACCTCCCTCCCCTCCACGCTGCTCCTCCCCTTGCCAGCAACGCCTACCGTCTCTGCCCTCAGACTGCCATGCGCCCACATGCCCCCCGCCTTATCCCCACTCGCTTCCTCCGCCTTGGCGAGGCCCTCCCCTCCTAATCCTGCACCACCCTGCCCCCCTCCACGGCTGTCAGCAGCCCCACGCCAGCCATGCCCACCCTCCTCTCCCGCATGTGCTGCCCCCATGCCACCCTCCATCATGCCTCCCATCCTCGCTTCCGCCTTCGTCTCCTCCCCTCCACTCCTCCGTTCCACCAACGGCATGGCGCACTGGCTGCCCACCCGGGCCTCTGTACAAGCATCATTGCCTGTGTGCCAAGCACCCATCGGCGTTTCACCACCTGTGAGCCCAGTACCCGATGCTGGTGTAGCATTCACCCTTGCTTCTACGCCAATACGTGCACCATTCACATCATCCCGTGCGCCCAACTCAGCCCCTTCCCCTCCCGGCACCTCTGCTGCCTCGCCTTCCTTCCTAATCTCCCCCTGCTCCTCCTTTCCCCCTTCCTTCACTCCCATCACACTGTCCTTACCGCCTGCCTCCCTCGCTCCCATCACCTCACCCTTAACGCATACTCCATCCTTCACTCCATCGCACACACCATCTCCAACCACCTCACCCTCTCCTCCACTCCTTCCTTCCCCTTCCTTCTCCCCATTCTCCTTTCCCCCACACTCCTCAACTCCTCCCCCTCTCTCCCTCCCCCTGCACGCCTCCTCCACAGCAGCCCACACCTCCTCTTCTATCTCCTCAGGAAACGCCGCCCATGCATCCTCATCTCCTACCAACCCTCCCTTCCCACCAACCTCCCCTCCCCCCCCGGTACCATCCACCTCACTCACACCTTCCGCTTTTTCAGCAGCATCTCCATCCCATACATCAGAGCCGACCTTTCTCTCTGCCCCACATGCATCATCCGTACCTGATTTCTCAGCACCATCATGACCCATGCACCCATTCGACCAATCACTCCACCCTGCACCTGATTTCTCACCCTTCGTTTCCTTCCCTGCAGCCTCCACCCCTGCCCAACCCCCTTGTTCCACTTTCCCCCCCGTGCACGCCCGCCATGCACCCTCTTGCTCAAGCCTGTCACCCTGAGTGCTGACGCGTGCTGCCGCTGCTGTCGCAACTGCTGCTGCATGATGTGTGTCTGGCTTTTGGGGCAGGCAGGGAGTGCAGGGAGCAAGTGCCGCGGCAGGAGCAGAGACAGTGGCAGCTGCGTTGGCAGCAGAATCAGCAGGAGCCAAGTGAATAGCAGCAACAGCAGCAGGAGAAGCAGGGGCGGCAGCTATGGCAGCGATGCGCGCAGGGGAGTGTGAAGGGGGAAGCTGATGTGTGGGCTTGGGACGGAGGAAGGTGGAGGAGAGGGTCTTCTGATCCGGGTGGTCCAGAGCCAGGCGGCGCAGCAGAAACGAATCCACTGATGGGGGCCCAAGGTGAGGGGAGAGAGGAAGGGGACGGAATAGCGAGGAGACTATTTTTGAGGCGCCTCAAAACAAAAAAAGAGACACGGGAAAAAAGAGGAAACGGATGAGAGCCAGGAATGGAGATATGGTGCAGTGGAGGACAGACAAGAACAAAACAAAACCAGCCCAGCTGCCGCATTGCAGGAACTTATAAAGGAGCACCAGACGACCAAGAATAACCAACGAGCAGGAGCAGTGCAGCGAAGAAGCTCGTCTGTGAAAAAGCTCACAGGGCAGCTGCCTGTTGGCGTGGATGCAGGCGACCACCCAGTTGGGGTGCACAATTGGAGGCAGAGTCCGCGACCTGGTGGGGTGACAGGACAGGACAGAATAGGACAGGTCAGGAGGACTGGTCAGGGAAGAAAACGGAGAGAAATGGCCACGGTGAGAGCAATACGACACGCTTACCAAGTTCCATAGAGCAGAACAGGATAGTGTACAACGCGAGATTTTCAAGGAAAAGAGAGAACACATGAGCGAGGGCACACAGGGCAAGGCAGAGACGGAAGGTGAGAGACGTGTGCGTACTTGCGGAACTGGACAAGCTTAGTGTCCGGGAGATTGGCACAGATGATGTGCGTGACGCGGGAGGGGTGGAAGTAGTTCTCAAACACGCCCCCGTGCACCAGCATGAGCTGCCGCAGCTCCTGGGATGAGAGACACAGGCACCATGGAAGAGAGAGAAGAGGTGCCGATGATGGATGAATCGAAAGCCAGCAGAGAGGAGGGAAGGAAGCTATGCCTAGCACGAGAAGGGATTATGAATGCAAAAGCGCAGTGCCATGCCATGTGATGTTCATTGAGCCATATCTCAACACATGTGGCACTGGCACGTGGTATACGGCACGGCACGGCACACAGGATGACGATCACAAGGAAGGGAGTGTGCACTATGGGGCACAGTCTCACCTGGTGTGTGGGTTGCGTGTATCCATTCACCCAGATGACCACCCCTTCAAAGAGGCGAGATGCACTGATGCACGCTGTACCGCTCTGCACTCCATGCAACGCTGTTTCACCACTCCTCCCCTCACTTCCTTCGCACCGCATGCCACCTCCACTACATGCTCCCTGCCACATGTCCCCACTCCCTGCACAGCCGCCCACCATGCCCTCATTCCCCAACGCATCTTCCCCCTCCCACCGTGCACCCTCGTCCCGAACCCTGGAATCACATGCCAAGTGCCACCCCGCATCCGTTTCACCGACCCCTCCCTTTCCACCACCACCAGCAGCAGCAGCAGCAGCAGCAATGGCAGGCGCTTCCCTATCCGCCTTCATGCTGCCAGACTCAGGCCCTTGGAGTGTCCAGCCTGCACCAGGTAGAGCCTGTGTGCGGGCAGCGAGACCGTGCAGGGAAGCAAGCTGCTGGGACGAGACAGGCACGTGGGATGGCAGCTGGGGTTGCCTGCCAGGGGACATGCACGGTGGACACGTATGGGAACAAGGGGAAAATGCACACAGTGAGGAGGTATAGAAACCATGGCACGAAGCCGGGTTATATGAGTAAGTGAATGAGGTGCTGATGACGATTCAGCATGATGACTCCTCAGACCATAGAGTCCAGTCCGACCGCGGAAGCATTGAGCGATAATGTTTCTTTGATGAAACGACTTTCCCCCTATCTAGGTCAGAGTAAGTTAGGGGAGGCCTTAACAGCTTTTTTTAAAACACTCCTAGTGAACGTTTTTGAAACAAAATCAGAAGCTAAGCCTCTTCTGGTGACTTACCAGAGCAAACCAGCAGCTGCCTCCCCCTCAAACTGCAGGCGAAGCTTGCGAGTCTTCTCGTGCATGTACCTGATGCCCGCGCACAGTTGCGGAGTAAGACAGTGGCACAGACAGAGGGGCCGAGCGACAGACGGACAGAGGAACAGAGGGACAGAGGGACAGAGGGACAGAGCGACAGAGGGACAGAAGGACAGAGCGACAGAGCGACAGATGGAGAATCGTACAACAAGCAACAGCAACTGCTCATTAGTTCTCTTCAGCAGGAAAGCAATCTCGGCATGGACGAACCGTACATACCCAGAAGCTCTGATCACTACTAACGAGAATCAATCAAGCCACGCACCTGCCGAAGTCACTACCCCAGACACCCTTCTTCTCCTCCTCCCTCTTCCTCTTCTTCTCCCACTCGCGCAACCTCTCCTTCTCCGCCTCCCTCCTCTCCTCCGCCATCTCCCGCTCCCGCTCCCCCCCACCCGCCGCTCGTTCCAGCAGCCGCACCAGAGGCCCGCTCGAGGCAGGCCTGCCATCCGCCTCGTCGACTCGCGGGAAACGCGCGGACCAAATCGTGCTTGCGCTGCGCTCGTCGCCCATCCTGCTGTGACCGATACCAACTCCGCGTCCGCTTTCCCCCCTGAAGCCTCGCGCATCCTCGCGCAGGCTACTTCCGCGTCCACACTCCCCGCTTGGCTCGCATGCTGTTCCGACAAGGGAGCAGCTGGCACGGGCAGGCGATACATGACCTTGACCAGATAATTGACCAGACATCGCTGACCTCTGTTGTTAAGGAATGAGTGCACCAGCTGCAAGAAACGATCGAGGCCATCGGTAGCTGGCTTATTACTGTGACCTATCTCCGCGCTAGCCATCGCCGGTTAGACCAGACATACCGACAGCTCCGCGGTGTATGATTATTACTTGGCCTTGCTGTAACTATTGATGAAGGAGCATTCAGCATCTAGGTTGCGATCATCCTGCGATCATCCTGCGATCATCCTGCGATCATCCTGCGATCATCCTGCTAGCAGTCAGACTGGTGAACTGTATCGGCCTGTGAAGCGTAACCATCACGCGTTGTTCCCGATCTCAGTCCAACCACACACATCGTCTAATACTAGGAAAGCGTGAAGAGTTTGCCTGTCCTAAGCGCGCCGAGCACGAGAAAAAAAGAGGGAAACAGACGAGCTTTGATGACAAGCCAGGCGAAACATTTCGAGCCCTTCGAACACGCGACGAAATTCAGAGGCGACGAACGAAACAGATACCAGGGATGCAAGAATTGAGCGAGACCAGACCTTTGTTACGCGTGCCAGAAAAAAAAAAAAACAAGAGGCGACGAGATCGTCTTAGGGTTGCGGAGCATTTCATGATGAGACTTTATTATACATAAAATGTTTTATTTCCATCACAAAAAGCATTTAATTTTTATTTCACAAACTTGAAAAAAAAACCAGCCCGATCGATTGCAATAGGTTGCTCCGCAACCCAAAAAAAAAAATGACCACTAAGATCACTAAACAAAACACAAACTCCATAGAAGTGGAACGAAATGACGTGATACTCAACAGAAATGGAATGGATTTCAATATGGGCATGTGGGTACCGCATGCGAAGCAGCACTAGTCTGAGAAGGATTGCACATGGGTTCCGTCCTAGCATGCAGTCATGCATGTAACCAAATATGTAAAAAAATGTCTTATTCTCAACTATTCTAAGCAAGATGTTGAATATGTTAAGAGAGCTAGGCTAGTAGGAACGGTAGGAAGCCATGGAATGGCGTGAGGGTATGGTATCATAGTAGGTTAGGCCCCCCCCCCTCCCTAGCCCGCCCACGCTTCCGCCCCTAGGCCTTAGCCGTCGTCGCGCCCGCCCCTAGCTGGCCCCCTGGCCGTCGAGCCCGCCCCTAGCTGGCCCCCTGGCCGTCGCATCCGCCCCTATCCGGCCCCCTGGCCGTCGCGCTTGCCCCTAGCTGGCCCCCATGGCCGTCGCGCCCGCCCCTAGCTGCCCCCCTAGCCGTCGCGCCCGCCCCTAGCTGGCCCCATGGCCGTCGCGTCCGCCTCTAGCCGGCCCCCTGGCCGTCACGCCCGCCCCTAGCTGGCCCCCTAGCCGTCGCGCCCGCCCCTAGCTGGCCCCTGGTCGTTCGCGCCCGCCCCTAGCTGGCCTCCTGGCCGTCGCGCCTGCCCCTAGCTGGCCCCTTGGCCGTTCGCGCCCGACCCTAGCTGGCCCCCTGGCCGTCGCGCCCGCGTCTAGCCGGCCCCCTGGCTGTCGAGCCCCTCCTAGCCGGCGCCCTGGCCGTGTCGCGCCCGCTCCTAGCCGGCCCCCTGGCCGTTCGCGCCCGCTCCTAGCCAGCCCCCTGGCCGTTTGCGCCCACCCGTAGCCGGCCTTCTGGCCGTTCGCGCCCGCCCCTAGCTGGCCCTCTGGCCGTTCGCGCCTGCCCCTAGCCGACCCAATCGCGGTCGCGGTCGCCCCCAGCTGTCGTCGCGGCCGCCCCGAGCCGTCGCGGTTGCCTCTAGCCGCCGTCGCGGCTGTTTCCCGCCGTCCCACGGCCGCCCCTCGCCGTCGCGCCCGCCCCTAACCGCCGTCGCGCCTGCTCCTCGCAAATGCGGCCGCCCCTAGCCGCCGTCGCGGCCGTGTCTACCCACCGTCGCGGCCGCCTCTACTCGCCGTCGCGCCAGCTCCTAGCCGGCCCCTGCATTCGCGTCGTCGCCAGCCCGCCGCCGCCTTGGGTTCGGCCCGTTCTTCCCGATCAGCACTGCCCTGCGAACCCCGCGGTACCGTACTGCACCGCTTTGCATCGCACTGCACCGCACTGCACCGTACTGTACCGCACTGCCCCGTACTGCGCCGTACTGTATTGCACTGTACTGCTCTACACTGCCCTCTATTGTCACTGATAGCGGAGGTGCTTCGCTTTGACGCTGAGGGCCAGCCGATTGAGTTTGATGCGTGGCTTGCTGACCTCCGTCGCCACCTCACTGGTCAGCGGCAGGATGGCCACTCTCTGTCTGTCCATCTTGACGGTACTCTCCCCTGCCCTGACCCCCCCGTTGCACTGTCTCCTGACCCCTCGTCCGCTGAGCGTGAGTCCGCTGCGGCCGCTGCCCTTGCTCGCGCTGTCTGGCTGTCCCGTGACGCTGTCGCACAGCTTGCTATTAGCAATGCCCTCCCCCTATCCGAACGACCTTGCTTCAAATCTATCACCACTGCCCAGGCTTTCCTAGATGCTGTTGTCCATCGTTATTCCACCCCGCCTGCTGCCTCGGTAGGTCGCCTAATCCTCCCCATGCTCTTCCCTGACCTTGCATCGTTCCCCACTGTCGCCGACCTGGCCGCTCACCTGCGCACTATAGATGAGACCTGGCGTGCTGCCTGCACTAACACACAGCTTCTAGCCCACCAGCCGCCCCTCACCTCTACTCTCTACCTGCTAGCCAACCGCCTCCCTGACCGTCTTGCCACTGCCCAAGACCACTTCCTTAGCGTCCACCTTGCAGACCTCACCCTCACTGACTTTGTTGACACCTTGTCTACTATAGAGGCCCGCCACCGCTCTATCGCTCAAACCAGCGGTACTGTGCCAGTCCCTATCTTTCAGGGTTGCGCCCCCGCTCAGTGCACCTTCTCCGACGGTTCTGCTGCTGTGGCTAAGGCTACCGCTGCAGAACAGGTCCGTCCAGCGAAGGGTCGCTGCCCAAAGGCTGAGCGTGGTGGCAGGGGTGGCGGTGCAGGTGTAGGTGGTGCGGGAGCTGGGTCTTCCGGCGGTGGTGCGGACGAGGGGACCCTGACAGGTGCAGCCGAGCAACCGTCTCCGCAGCCGCCGATGTTGCAGCCGGACCCGCGTCAGCCGCAGAAGCCGCAGCAGCAGCAGTAGCCGCAGCAGCAGCAGAGACGGGCGAGTGGTCTCCCGCCCGGGTGGCCTGGCACTGGTGGTAGCCCTGGACGTGATAGTGGTGCGCGTAGTGGGCTGCCGGGTGGTGGTTCGGGTGACACACGCACTTCGTACCTGCTCCAGACCGGTCCTCACCGTGGCTTCGTTTGCGGTAAGATCGGCCACACCTCCGTCCGCTATTTCCGTTGCCTCGACGACCTGTTTCATCAGCGCTTCGGCCCGTCGCCCGAGCTCCCAGACTGGCACAGCTTGCTCCGTCGTAGGGTTCAGATTTTTTATCTGGATATGGATGAGATTGTTAGTGCTCTGCATGTGATGTATGCTGATGACTCTAGTGTGCTTCCATCTTATTACCCCTTGTTGCCTAGTGTAGGTGTGCCTTACTTAGACTCCCCTGCTGCGTCAGGCGTAGGATCCCCTGCTTTGTTTAGCCTTGGTGCTTCCGTCACTGCTTTGCCTCCGGCCGCCACTGCCGCGCTCTCCTTCACCCTCGACTCTGGCGCTTCCCGGTGCTTCTTCCGTGACTCCACCACGTTGACACCTCTTCCTGTCCTTGCCGCAGTCTCTCTTGCTGACCCCTCCTCCGGCCCAGTAGTCGCCCGCAGTTCCACCACCCTCACTTGCCCGGCGGTTCCTCCGGGCTCGCTCAAAGGTCTGCACATCCCCTCGTTCTCCAAGAACCTAGTTGGTGTCCGCTGCCTTAAGGACCTAGGCGTCACCACTACGTTCCCTGGACATGAGCGGTACGCTGTCTGTACCGAGGCCGCCACTGGTGCCCCCCTATCCACGTTCCCACAGGACCCGGTGTCCGGTCTTTTCACACTGGACACGGAGACCCCTCCGGCTGGGACCCCCCCTCAGGTGGCTGCGTCTCCTCCGCTTGCTGATGCCTGCTCCTGTCGGTCTCTCACCCACCCGACCCTTCTCTGGCACCACCGTCTAGGTCACCCTGCGCTCCCGTGTCTGCGTTACATGTCACAGCATGGTCTCGTCCTAGGCCTCCCCGGGTCGTTCCCCGAGTTTCCCTCCTCCCCAGCCCCACCTTGCACGCCCTGTGTCGAGGGCCGGCTCCGCCGTGCCCCTCACTCCTCCTCGTTTCCCCCTACTGCAGCACCGCTATAGAATCTGCACATGGACGTCTGGGGCCCCGCCCCCGTCCATGGGCCACGTCAAGAGCGCTACTTACTAGTGCTTGTCGACGACTACACGCGCTACACCACTGTGTTCCCCCTGGAGCGGAAGGCCGACGTACCTGACGCTCTTATCCCGTGGGTTGTCAGTGCGCGTGTCTGCCGCAGTCTCCCTGTCTTGCGCCTCCACTCCGACCGTGGTGGCGAGTTTGCCTCTGGTGTCCTTGGTCATTTCTGTCGTACGGAGGGCATCACCCAGACGTTCACCTTGCCGGACTCCCCGCAGCAGAATGCGGTCGCTGAGCGACGCATCGATTTGGTCATAGAGGTGGCTCGCACCTCCATGATCCATGCCGGTGCACCCCATTTTCAGTGGCCGTTCGCCTTTAGCTACGCCACTCACCAGCTTAACCTATAGCCGCACCCCCAGCAGCCTCAGATTTCGTCGACCCTTCTTTGGTCTGAGTCCCCTGGTGACGCGTTTGTGTTTGACGTCTGGGGTTGCCTTGCTCACATTCGTGCCTTTGGCACGGACAAGCTCACTGCCCGCACCCTTCCCTGTGCCTTCCTCGGCTTCCCCCTTGACGCGTATGACTGACACTTCTACCACCTGCCGTCTCACCGGTTTTTTCACTCCCGCGACGTCACCTTTGACGAGTCCGTCTCCTTCTTCCGCCGCTTCCCCCACCGCGGTCCCCCTGTTATCCCCCCCCAGTTCCTGGTCACCCCTTCCCCGGTCGTCGCCGCCCCTCCTCCTCCCCCTCCCCGTCCTGCCCCCTCTGGTGTGTCCCACGTCACCCCACTTCCGTCAGTTGTCCCGGTTGAGGAGTCTGCTGACTCTGGTGGTCCTGCGGTGCAGTCCTCGCCGCCTGCCTCTTCTCAGGTGTCTCCTCCTCCGCCGCCTCCACAGCCGCCGTCGCCACCGCTGTCGCAGACGCTGTCGGCACCGCAGCCACCTCCGCTGCAGCCATTGTCGCAGCAGTTCCTTGCCTCTAGGGGTGCTCGCATGGAGTGTTCTGGAGGTAGCCGCCA